CGTCGATCGTCGTCGACGTGTTCGACCGCGGCGTGCCGCAGCGCCGGCACTCGCGGCGCCGCGCGAAGTTGTTGTTCTCGCAGACCTCGCAGATCCAGTCCCCGGGCATGAGCGACGTGTTGCCGCCCGCGCCGCCGGCCATGGGGTTCACGCCGATGGGGTGCGTCCGGCCCGGGCCCTGGCCGCCGCCCCAGCCGCCGCCGCCGCCCCCGTAGCCGCCCTGGCCGTAGCCGCCCTGGCCGTAGCCGCCCTGGCCGTAGCCGCCCTGCTGGCCGTAGCCCTGGCCGTAGCCGCCGTAGCCCTGGCCGCCGTAGCCGCCCTGCTGCTGGCCGCCCTGCGAGCGCGCGCGCGTCGCGGCGCGGGCGGGCGGCGGGCGGGCGCGGCGCGGCGCGGGGAGGGGGCGGGGGGCGGGACGCGCGAGGACGCGGGCGAGCGCGTAGCCGCCGTAGCCCTGCTGCTGGCCGTACTGCTGCTGGCCGTAGCCGCCGTAGCCCTGCTGGCCGTAGCCGCCTTGGCCGCCATAGCCCTGCGCGTAATTCCCCTGTTGGTACGACTGTTGGCCCTGGCCCCCTCCCTGCTGCGAATACTGCCCTTGTTGCCCGTAGCCCTGGCCCCCATAGCCGCCCCCTTGCCCTTGCTGCATGTTAGCCCGAACTGGCGCCCCGGTACCCGGGCGCCCCTGACTTGACGAAAGACCCGAACCCGAACCCGAGCCCGGGGATGCGTGGAGGCCCCAAGCACCTGGTGGAGGACGGCAGACGGGCGTGCGTCTGGCTCGGCGGTCGCGCGCGCGGACGACGGCCTCGGCGAGGCAGGCTGTCTAGAGCCTGTCGACATCGGACAAAGGGTTTGCGTCACTCTAGAGGCACTCTAGACGATGTACGCGGCGTCTTGAGCGTGTGTGTGAGCTGCCTCGGGCCCGAACAGCGCTTCCGACCAGCCCCAGGTGTCGGTCGGATGATGCGCTGCGCTTTTTTCCAGGCGCGAAGGCGAAATTCGTAGCCTACACTGGCCTGAAAAACGGCCATAATTGGCGCCCCAAAGCGCCCTGCCGTTCGACGTGCTCCAAGCCGCGCGGCGACTACTGGGACCCGCGCGCGGCGCCCTCTGGGTGGTATATGGCGTACGCCGTGCGGTGATCGCTGCAGCTGCCTGCGACGACCGACGCGCGCTGGCTCAAAACGGGTGCGCGACGCTGCGCCGAGCGGCTGAAACGTGAGCGCATCCGAGGTGCTGCTGGTCTCGGCGTGCAAATCAGAGGGTCGCCCATAGATGCAGCCAGCGCTCGGCGCCCAAACTCTGGGGCAGGTAGCCGCCGAGTGTCGGCGCGGCGAGCCACATTTACAGGGCGTGAGCCTCTCCGAGCGGATGAGAGGCGCGAGCTACCTTTGCTGGACCTGACGTTGTTGGCGCATCTGAGGCCGACGGTCGGACTTGGAACGTCATCGGACGGCGTCAGCTTGGTTTTCTGGTGCGACGACGACGACTTGGACCCAATTCGGGGCTCAAAACGCCTCAAAACGAGACGTTCGGGCATTGATAGAAACGTTTCGCGTCGAATGATCACCGCATCTTCGTTCTGGAGGCAGGTCCGTCGACGCGGAGCACCTCTACAGCGTAGTGGTGCTGCACGACGGCCACGCGGTACCCGAGCGCGCGTCAGCCCTGAATCGACCGGTGGCCGCTCCGCGGCCTGGGCCATGGGCATCTGAGCCTCGCCTGCCGACCACGCGTTCTGTCTATCGTCGGGCGGACCCAACGCCGCCTCGCGGCGGTTAGTTTTCAGGCACGGCGATTTTTTGCCATTTAAAACGAGATTTTAGCCCATGTTTAGCCCCTTTTTGGGATGTTTTCGGTGGTAGCCACGATGCGTAGGCTGCCGCAGACACCCCTCTGATCCTTTTGTAATCCCTGCGCCCCCCTCGCGCCGCTCCGCGGCGCCCCTGACGGCGCTTCGCGCCGTCTGAAGAAGTTTTAAAAGTGCCCTGTAACACCGAAAATTTGCCCTCGGCGAGACGGCTTGATTGATGCAATTGGAGAAGCAGGAAAATTTTTTGATGGCAAGTGGGGCCTGCGGTAATTTCCTCTGACCGACCATGCCGACGCGGCTCGAGTACTGTACGAAGACGCACCGGCTCGTCGAGGTGCCCTACGAAGCCGAGGAGCAGACGCAGAGCTCCTGGTTCTCGTCCGCGAGCTCGGAGAGCCAATCGTCGTCGTCGTTTTGGCAGAGCAACGCCACCGCGTCACCAACCACCACCGCCGCGACCACAACCACAAAAAAGGGCGCGGACGACGACAGCTGGTGGGCCGCCGCGGGCGAGATCGCGACGGACGCGGGCATGTACGCGACGGACGCTCGCGTCGCGGCCGAGGACTACGCGGCGCGCGCCGGCGCCTGGTTCTCCCGGGTCTCCGAGGCGCCGGCGCGCCGCCCGAGCGGCGAGGCGGCGCGCCCCGCGGGCGGCGAGGCGGCGGACGCCGACGCCGAAAACGCGCGCGCCGCGGCCGCGCGCGCCGTCGACCCGGAGGCGGCGAAGCGCGAGCGCCACGCGCGGAACCGCGCGGACCGCGCGGACATGGCGGCCAAGTACGCGCTCCCGCCGCGGCCGCCGCCCCGCGACTTCCGCGCCGAGGAGCGCGCGCGGTCCAAGCTCCCCGACGGGCCCGAGCCGTCCCTCCCGCGGCAGCCCTACGAGAACACGCTCTACGACGAGCTCTCCCACGTGGACCCCATCGCGGACCTGTTCAGCGACGCGGCGGAGGTCGCGCCCGACGACTAACGAGGCGAGAAGTCTTGGTAAGGGCGGCAAAAGAGGCCTGGTGAAAACGGCGGCGTCGAGGGACGCCGCGCGCGGCGTCGAGGGACGCCGCGGAGCCAGAGAGAGGCGAATTCGAAGCGAAGAGGTGCCGACATGGTGGCGAGAGGATGCGTCGCACGGGCGGGGGGAAGAGAGAGACGGGGCTCGCGAACAGGGGGGCCGGCCCCGCGCGGACGGGGGGGCGGGCCGCGGACAAGTTTCGGGGGGCGCGCGCGCCGCGCCGGCGCGGCGGTCCGCGCGGCGCCGGGCGGCGCCGGGCGGGGTCACACGGCGCTGGGGACGAGGAGCGTCGAGCCGGCCGGGCTCGGGTCCTCCTCGAGGGGCGAGAGCGCGGCGATCGCGCGCATGATCTCCGTGCTGTCCTCCTCGTCGGCGCCGCCGCGCGCGTAGTCGAGGCGCGGCGCGCCGGCCGGCGGCGCGTCGAGGCCCGCGAGGTCGAGGCTGCGCACCATGTCCGCGACGGCGGCCTCCGGCGGCGCGGCGTCGGCCGGCCGGGGCCCCGCGGCGTCGAGCGCGGCCGTGAGCGCGGCGACGCCCGGCGTCGGCGCGAAGGCGCGCGCGTTGGCGCCGAGGCGGCGGGTCCCGGCGCCGTCGTAGGCCGCGGACTCGTAGGCCTCCTGGTAGTCGTAGGCCGTGCCGTCGTAGGCGCCCGCGTAGTCGGGCGCGGCGCGCGGCGCCGGCGCCTTGGCGGCGCCGTCGGACGCGCGGCGCGACACGTACTGCTGGAACTCGGCGTGGTAGCGCGTGTCGTGGCTCGTCTGGCCGCACTTGGCGCAGCAGACCGTCGCCGCGCAGCGCCGCGGGTGCACGCGGCGGCAGTTGCGCCAGCCGCACTTGAAGCACATGGCGACGACGTCCGCCTCGTCGGACGGGCGGATCTGGGCCCAGTCGTGGGACGCGTGGCAGGCGCCGTCGAAGGCCGTCGCCGGCGAGTCGGCCGGGCGCACGAGGACGACGCGGTAGCCCCGCTCCGCGAGGCGCCGCAGCGCGAGGCCGAACCGCTCGCGCGGGAGGCCCCCTAAGAGGAGCACGACCGTCGCCGGCGCCGGGCGGCCCAGCGCGTAGTCGAACATGTCGATGAGGATGGGGCTGCGGTCGTTGCTGTGCGCGCCCGTGTCGACGAGCTGCACGCCGCTGTTCTGGAGCCCCGCGCGGACGCCGCCGTGGACGGACGCGCGGTCGCCGTAGGCCCGCGCGACGTCGATGCGCCCGTAGAGCGCCGCGATGCTCCGCTTCGCGCAGCGCCCGCTGTCCGGGCCCGCGGGCCGGCAGCCCGCGAGGTCCCAGAAGACGGCGCACGCGCCGCCGTCGCGCGGCGCCGGGTCGCCGCGGCCCGGCTCCCAGCCGCCGAGGCCGGGCGCGTAGGGCGGCGCCAGGGGCGTCGGGCCCCGCAGGCCGCCGCCCACCTGGCCGCCGCCCATCTGGCCGCCGCCCATCTGGCCGCCCCCGCCCCGCCCGGGGGCCAGCCCCCCCGGCGGTCGGGGCAGCCCCGACGCCGCCGGCGGCCAGCCGGGCAGGGGCGCCGGGAATCCCGCCGGCGCCGGACCGCCCGGCGGCGCCTCGCTGGGCCACTGCCGCACGAAGGCCCCGCCGCCGCCGCCCCCGGGGGGCGGCGCATAACCGGGATACATGCCGGGCGCCGGGCGAGGCGACCAGCCGCACCTCGATCGGTGAAGTCGTCGGGCTCTTTGGCTCAAACTTTAGTTTACTTCAGTCGCGCTATCTTTCCTTTACCGTGCAGCCTAGCCTACATGTAGCAGCCCGGTCTATTGAGATGATCGACCCGAACGCCGCCCGGTCATGACGCGGGCGGCGCCCGCCTCCTTCCGCGTGGGGCGCAAGGTCCTGGCGTTCTACGAGGTCGAGCGCAAGTTCTACGACGCCGTCGTGATCTCCGCGGACCACGCCTTCGTGAAGGTGCGCTACGTCGGGTACAACGATGTCGCGTCCGTCGGGGTCGGGCTCGTCCGGCCGATCCCGCCGCTCCCGGACGGGTGGGAGGAGCAGATGGACGAGTCGTCGGGCTGGCCCTACTTCCAGAACGCGCGCACCGGCGAGACGTCCTGGACGCGGCCGGCGAACGCCGCGGCCGGCGGCGCGCTCGCGCGCGCGCGCGCGGACGCCGCGGAGCGGCGCGTCGACCGCTTCCTCCCCGCGCTCGACCACCAGAGACAGCCCCTGGCCGTCGCGGGCGGCGCGCTCGACGTGCCGGCGAGCCGCGAGTCGCCGCGGACCATCGCGCGGCGCAACCGCCTCGACGCGCAGCGGCGCCGCGACGCGAAGCAAGCCGTCGTCGCCGCGCCCCCCGCCGCCGCGACCATCGTGGGCGGCTTCGCGAAGCCCCAGGTCCGCGCCGCGATGCAGCAGAGCCAGCTCGCGGTCCCCGGCGGCTTCGCCCGGCGGCCGCGCGGGCGGCAGCTGCCGCCGGCGCAGGTCGGCGAGATGACGACGGCGCAGATCCGCGCCATGATCCAGGCCGCGAACGACGGCATGTTGGGCGGCTTCGGCGGGGGCTGCGGCTGCGGCGTCGCCGGGTGCTAATGTTTCCGTGCATGTGCGGTGTAAGTTCCGTGGCACGGCAAGGCGGGCCACGAAATTATGGCGCCGGCGGGCTGCTGGAAGGCCCTCGCCACCCTGGCGATGAACTACGCCACGGCGTTCGTCGAGCAGTGCGTCCTCGACGACCGCGACGTCTTCGAGGAGGGCGCCTGCTGGGGCAACTACCGCATCTTCGCGGACGCCGGCGCGCTCGATGTCGACGCGCGGGCGTCCCAGGACGCGCCCCAGCCGGCCGTGGCGGACGTCGACGGCGACGGGCGCGACGAGGTGTTCCTCGGGGACACGGACGGCGTGCGCCTCATCTACGACGCCACGGCCGCCCGCCCGCGCGAGGTCTTCGTCGACCTCGCGCCGTGGGCCGACGGCGAGGTCGTGTGCCCGGCGACCTGGGACGTCGACGGCGACGGCGACGCCGACCTGCTCGCCGCGTCGCCCACGGGGAGCGTCGTCGTCGTGGAGAACCTGGGCAACGCGACCTACGGCCCCGTCTTCGAGGTGCTCGCCGCGGGCGCGTACTGCGACGACACGACGAAGATCGCCGCGGGCGAGCTCGTCGACGGCGACGGCGCCTTCGAGCTCCTCATGGTCTGCGACGTCGGCGACGGCTGGGAGCTGTCCCTCTTCGCCGTCGCCTACGCCGCCCCGGCCAACCTCACGGCGCTCGCCTACGCGGAGACGGGCGCCTACGAGGAGGTCCGCAAGGCGCTCAAGGACCTCGACTCCGGCCTCGCGGACATGAAGCAGCACGCGTCCTTCCACGACTTCGACGGCGACGGGGACCTCGACTTCCTCCTCGGCGGCTTCTCCGGGGGGCTGGCGTTCTACGACAACGGCGGCGGGCCGACGGCGAGCAAGTGGGCGCTCCAGTCGGACGCGCTGAACCCGACGTACGGCTTCAACGCGGGCTCGGGCTACGAGACGGCGTCGGCCGTCGGCGACGTCGACGGCGACGGGCTGACGGACGTCCTCGTCGGCTACAGCGACGGCGACGGCGACTGGGGCGTCCAGCGGCTCGAGCTCGAGCCGCTCCGCCGCGGCGACGCCGTCTTCGAGCCGCGGACGAGCGCGGGCAGCCCCTTCTCCGCCTTCGCGACGGACGGGAACATCATCCGACCGGCCCTCGTCGACGTCGACGGCGACGCGGACCTCGACCTCGTCGTCGGCCGCCGCATGGCCACCTACTCGACGGGCTCGGGGACCACGGGCTCCACCACGGGCGGCCGCCGGCGCCGCCTGGCGGGGCCCGGCGACGCCTCGTCCGGCGGCGACGCCTCGTCCGGCGGCGACGCCTCGTCCGGCGGCGACGATTCCTCCGGCGGCGACGCCTCTTCCGGCGGCGACGCCTCCTCCGGCGGCGACGCCTCGTCCGGCGGCGACGAGTCCTCCGGCGGTCAGGGCGGCGACTCGGGCGGCGACTCGGGCGGCGGCTCGGGTGGCGACTCGTCGTCGTCGTCGGGCGACGGGTCCTGCGCCTACGACGACAGCGAGGGCGACGACGTCGTCGTCGGGCTCCTCTACTACGAGAACCTGGGCTCGGCGGCCGTCGCGTCCTTCGACTTCGACGCGCCCGGCACGGCGCCCTTCGCGCGGTTCAACCAGACGGAACTCCACAACGCCGGCATCTGCTTCTTCTGGCCGTCGGCCTACGACGTCGACCTCGACGGCCTCGCGGACCTCGTCCTCGGCTCCGACTTTGGCTACGTGCACGTGGCCCTGAACCTCGGCGACGGCACGTTCGCGGCGCCCGCGAGGATCCTCAACTCGAGCTGGACCGGCGACGCCGACGACACCGCGTACCTCCAGGCGTCCGCGGCGGCGTCCGACGTCGACGGCGACGGCGACGTGGACGTCGTCGTCGGCTACAACGGCTGCGAGGTGCGCACGTACCGCAACGACGGCGGCGGCTCCCCGCTCGACGGGCCGCTCGTCCTCGCGCACAACGCGTCGTTCTACGATTTGGCGGGCACGGAGGACTGCCACCCGGTCTTCGAGGATTTGGACTACGACGGCACGGTGGAGCTCATCGTCGGCGGCTCCGGCGGCACGTTCTGGGTCGGCGACGCCGCGGACGCGGCCGACGCGACGGCGGGGTGGGTCGAGGACGCGGCGTCATCGTTCGAGCGCACGACGGACTCGTGGGCGTCGGCGAGCTTCGGAGATTTAGACGGCGACGGCGACGTCGACGTCGTCCTGGGCACGTTCACGGGCGCGCCGTCGGTCGGCTACCGGGCCCACTGCGTCCAGGACATGACGTGCAACGGCAACGGCCTCTGCCGGGACTGGACGTCGCCCGCGCCGGCCTGCGAGTGCCTCGTCGGCTTCGAGGGCGACCAGTGCGGCCTCTGCTCGGACAACTTCCACGGCTTCGATTGCGAGCCCTGCCCCGGCGGCGGGTCGCGCGCGGAGCCCGCGGCGTCGCTCAGCTGCGGCGTCCGCGGCGCGTGCGACGACGGCATCCTGGGCAACGGCACCTGCGCCTGCGACGCGCCCTTCGACGGGGCCGCCTGCGAGGACGGCGAGTGCGCCAGCGGGAGCGAGTACGCCTGGAACGACACGACGAGCCGCTACGCCTGCGCGACGTGCGCCGCTGGCTACGCGAAGAACGGCGCGGGCCCGCGCGGAACCCGAATCTTCGACCCGACTTCGATGCGCGCGTCTTCGGACCAGACTCTTCGGCCGTGCTTCGGGAACCCGACGAGAGAAAACGACTCGTCCCGGCTCACGGGTTGAGTTCCACGCAGGCACGGGCAACGCGAAGCCCTGCGACGCCTGCGACGTCGCCAACGGCGAGAACTCGCTGGACGGCGCCGCGCTCTGCGACGAGTGCGCCGTGGGCTACTACTGGTACGCGGCCATGCACCGCTGCTTCGTCTGCCCCGAGGGCGCGACGACGGCGTCCACGGGCCGCGACCGCTGCGACCTCTGCGAGGCCGGCTACTACATGCACGGCGACGACTGCCGCGGCTGCCCGAACCACGGCGACTGCGACGCCGAGGGGTCCGAGCTCGCGACGCTCGCGGTGGACGCGGGCTACTGGCGCGCGTCGGCGGCGGCGACGGACGTCTACGCGTGCCCGCGGGGCAGCGCGCGGTGCCCCGGCGGCTACGGCAACGGGTCCGAGCCCTACTGCGAGCGCGGCGCCGCGGGCGCGCTGTGCGACACCTGCGAGGCCGGGCGCTACTCGTCCGCGGCGGACGACGACGCGTGCGTCGAGTGCGAGGGGTCCACGAAGGCGACGCTCTACGCCGCCGTCTACGCGGCGGTCGTCGTGGTCGCGGCCGGCGTCCTGGTCCTCGCGGTCGTCGCCGGCCTGCGCGCGCGCAGGGGCGCCGGGTCCGCGTTCGCGGCGCACCTCGTCGACCGCTGGGACGCTGGCGCGCGCGCGGCGTCCCTGCTCTTCGAGAACCTGGTCAAGTCCGGCGGCGAGCTCGAGGGCGCCATCGAGGACACGGGCGACGAGGGCGGCTCGAGCCTCGGCACGAAGTTCAAGCTCCTCATGTGCTTCTTCCAGATCTCCTCCGAGTTCCCCGCGAACCTGGGCGTCGCGTACCCGCCGTCGGCGCTCAAGGCCATGCACGCGCTCTCCGCGTCGGGCCTCGCCTTCGACAAGCTCGTGCCCTTCCAGTGCCTGCAGCACGCGGGCTTCTTCACGCGGCTCGTCGTCGCGACGCTCTGGCCCTTCGCCGCCGGCGGGCTCGCGGCCGGCGGCAGCCGCGCGGCGTTCGGCGCCGGCGGCTCGACGCTCGCGCTCCTGCTGTCCTACTGCGTCTTCCCGTCGACGTCGACGCCGGCGTCCCGCGACGCGCGTCGAGAGAGGGAGAGAGCGCAACGCGTAGGTCGACGCTCGTCCTCGGCTACTTCAACTGCAAGACGTTCGCCTACGGCGACGGCGAGCGGGACCGGTCCTTCATGGTCATCTCGAACTACGCGGTGGAATGCGCGGGGGCGCGCTACGGCGCCTACCGCGTCTACGCGGCGCTCATGGTCGCGTGCTACCCCGTGGGCATCCCGCTGACCTACCTGTGCTTGCTCTACGCCAACCGGGACCGCATCGCGCCGCCGGGCCTCGCGGCCGCGGCCGCGCGGCGCCGGCGCGAGAAGGACGAGACCGTGGCGCACGTCCAGTTCCTCTGGCGCATGTACGAGCCGCGCATGATGTACTGGGAGGTCGTCGAGTGCGCGCGGCGCCTCGCGCTGACGGCCGTCCTGAGCCTCGTCGCCGAGCCCGGGAGCCTCGGCCAGCTCGCGATCTCCTTCTTCGTCGCGCTCGCGGCGATGACCCTGGTCCAGCTCTTCCAGCCCTACGTCGACCCCTTCGACAACGCCGTCGCCAGCGTCCTGTGGCCGTGATGATGTTCGAGAGATTTTGGGTGGGAAACAATGAGAAATCGTTACCGTCACGCTTGGTAGGCCGTCGCCGCGCTCTCCGGCTGGAGCATCCTCGTGGTCATCTTCCTCTC